AAAGTCTTCTCTGACACATTTTTATTTTTTCTCCTTCCTTTTTAAAAATACACTGCTACTCACATTTATTTTGTACAAAGTATTAGTAATGGGTAACACTGAGAAACTTACCTCAAAGTACTTTGGGCTGTGTATAACCTTCTCAATCTATTTCCATACAGTGCCAGGAACCCTGAAACTAGCCTAAGAACAATTCCTGTAGAGTACAAACATCTTATGGATTCATATTTCAGTTTTTGTCTTCTGCAGCAGAAAAACTTGTTTTCTAGTACTTTAAACAAAGTAAAAACATCCAGAATATTTGTTTCTAATGTAAATTAAATAAAATTTACTGCACATTTTACTACTGATGGTAGTAACCCAGGCTCCTTCCATACTGTATCACAAGAAATGCCTGAAAATAAGTTGCTATTCTTCCCTAGATAGGCATGATTTTTCAGTCACATGCACAGACTATCAGTATATAGACTAGACAAGTACGATACCTGGTCTTTCATTATTAAATATTTGCACTGCAGTGCAATGAACCTGAAGTCAGCCTCCTGTAAACACCTAAAAGTAACAACCACACTGTATCAGAATAGATCAGGAGGTTTAAATTGATCTCTGGCTTATCTTGGGCACACATCCCACTGATGCTGGTGGAGAGTGATGCCAGGGACAGGTTAATTGCCTTGGTTCCCTATTAAACCTACTACCAGGCAGGCACACGCTTTCCACTGCACTACCCAAGTCCTAATACTTAATGTGCCCTTTTACTGAAGTCAGAGCTGCTTATCAGATGGAAACCTGGGCATGCACCATTCCCTTCTGTTCCCTTCTCAGTCAAAAAATCTTTCAGGACAGCTCTTTTGCAAGAGGTTATTTCTGGAAATTTCTAATGAAAACAAAATAAAATGTGGTCAGTTTGTTTTGCTTTGCTTTGCTTTTTGTCTCTCCAATGATAGAATCTGCCAAAGAGATGTTAATCTGTTAAGCAAACTTTGAAGATCTTCATTAGGTAAAGACAGAGGTACTTTAACCATGCACCACTTTTTGCTCAGTGAGCAGAAACTGGCTTAAGGATGATGTTTATAACTGTTCCAATTTGACTGGAATTCTAAAAATGCAGACTGGCCTCCAGAAAAGCTAGACCTAAAACACGTTGTAATTGGCATGCTATCACTTATCTGAATCTAGAGTGTATCAGAAAAGAGTTTTTAGAGAGTGTGGATCTACTACAAAGCCACTCAGCTCTTTCAATGTTGCTTGCCTTTGCTCTCCTAATAAGGTCATCAGGTCCATCTACTAGAATCCATTTCCACCACCCTCATTTTCTTTTGAAAGAATAGCAGCACAGTATCTTGAACAATGAAAAGCCACAGATCATACACATACATAAAATATTTTCTTTCTGATAATGCACACAGTAAGATTTGCTCACTCAAGAGTCAGTCTGGTTTTCACTGGGGGGGGGGCATTAGGTGGGACAGGTTGATCAGATTACACCAGGTCCCATTCTCCAGACTGACAGCTCTGCAGCCTCCTCTGTTATTATACAGTGCACAAACTGTGTTGAGGTTGGATATTGTATGCATTAGAAAACTGAGTTCCTGCCAAAGATCTTTTATGAGCTTATTCAACAACACAACTGAAATGAGGTATTTTCTGGCCCATCACACATGTCTACCTGCCTGCTTATAAGACCATATGAAGTCTCTCACAAATACACAAATTACCTACAAATCTTGAGGTATTTGAGGTTACCTACTAAACCAGACCAAAGAAGTAACACTCAGTTTTGCCAACCAATGGGCTAAGTCTTCTTAAGCTCTCTTCTCCCCTCATTTAAGGATAATAGCTTAGCAGATGAGATGGATAATTAAATATCATAGCTTTCAAATATACAGACCTGGAGACTGAACAGGCCATTGCTAGTCCAGAACACATTATTTCCAGTAATCTGGCAGAGGGGCAGTGAATTTCTATATGGTGATGTAAACCACAACAAAACAGGTTGGGCACCTTTTAGTTTGTTTTCCAGTGAGGCTCCTGGTACTGGTTCTGTTGTGTACTTTGCTGTTATAGCCTGCATACATTAAATAAACACACTTTGTAAATCTCGCTTCAAATTTATCCGCAACAAATCACACTTGACTGTTCACCTTTTATGCAGAAATGACTGGCTTAGTGGGAGAGAGGAAAAACCTGATCTTAGCAAGGCTTTCAGTCGTATCACAGAATCAGTTGGACCTCTGAGGGTCACCTGGTTCAAGCCCCCTAAGTTACTGCCCTTGCAGATAACCAAAACTTGGGCAGAGAGGGCCCTGAGCATCATAATCTAACTTTCAAGTTAGCCCTGCTTTGAACAGGAGCCCAAACTAGATGGCCCCCAGACATAAATTACTTTATGATCTGCTTGGAGCATGTGAGGCTTCTGACACAATGAATGTTTAGGTTTTTCTGTTAAAGAACTACGTACAATCACTTTCTGCAGTGGTAATACAGAGGTCCCTATCACCCTCCATATTTGGACTTCTAAGAGTGGATTCTATACCCTCGCAAAACTCAGAGTCTATACAAGCCAAACAAAAGTCAAGACTTAACTTCATATTCTTCATAATTCAAGTCTAGATGGCAGTATATAATACTATATTAGTTAAAATTAGATTAAACCCTAGATTAGCTTTAAGAATAACACAGGAACAATATCCATTCAAGGTAACAGTAAAATTATGTGTGGTGACTTTATAGCCACCACTCTGATTCATAGGATTCTTTTACTAATTATCAACAATTACCATACCAGGGATGTCAGCTTAATAGGAAAGTTATTACATCACATTGATCTCAATTTTATAGTATTAAAATTAATTTCCGTTTCTCATCATCAATAAATACATTTTATCACACTTTAGCTAATTGGTAGTGGGACAACACTTGTAAAACCACATGAGTAAGTGCATGTGCATGTGTATACATGTATTTGTCAGCTTTTCTTAGATAAGAAAAATAGAACATCAGCCAGTTGACCAAAATTTAAACTTCATTTTCACAGTTATTATATAGCTGCTGTTTTCACAAGACTTTCTTTTAGTATGAAGAAGGAAAACCAAACCAAAACAAGCAAAAAACCAATTGAGAGACCCTAATTCAGTTTCATCCTCTACCATATTTCAGGGAACTCTAAAGGCCTGTTTCTTAACAGAGGAAGAAATCTCTTAACATTTAAGAAAAAAAAAAGAATAGAGAAGCACTGAACATTTTTCACAGTGCTTTATATGGCACTGAGAGAGCTTTCACTGCCCACCTACTCTATGCAGAGGAATATTGCAGTCACACAAGATGTGCAAAAAGTGTAACTGATCTTCTTTTTGTGAATCATGGCATGTAGCTGGCAGAACAAGGGAAAGCCCATGTAATTCTCTTTCCTTACACAGTTTGGTTAAGCGGAAGACAATATATCAAAATTTGAATAAAGTTTCAGTGCATTGCTCATTCACAGTCAATGTGATGATGCATTTCCAGTTTTCATGGTAATGGAAGTCAGAGAAATTGAACACTTCATGTTATCAACTTTCAGGCGTCTAGATATGCAAAACCAAAATTTCAAGCTCTACAGTTAGATGAAAGGTTCTGCCCTACCTGCATGAAGATAAGCCAGCAGAGTTCATGCCAGAGATGTCAAAATCTAGTCCTATCATGAAAATGTTAGCCAAATCACCTCAAGGTAAAAAAATGAGGATATGGATAACTGGAGATGGGACTGGAGGAAGCTGTACTTAAACAAACTAGCTTTCTCTTGTGTGAATGCACAACATAATTCAATTTGATTCTGCCTTTGATGGAACCAAGAAGAATACAACTTAAATAACTAGCTTGAGTCTTCCCACTGAAAGAGACTTTAAAAACTGAGTGCAGGCATGCACTTAGACAAGATCACATACCCATAGCAACATAACAGTTGTTTGATAACTCACTGAAACAGAACGCTGTCTTCAACTATAAATTGTGTTCCAGACAAATATATCTAAAAATTTGATAGTAGCACAGGAAAGGAGTTATGAGGAGAAACTACTAGCATTCTTAGTATCTGCCCAGAAGATTGTAGGTTTTATTTTAAAACTCAAGCGTAGATTTGATGGTAGATACTACAACTGTCTCATTCTAGTTAATGGGGTTAGAGGAACAGATTATGTTTCTAAAGAATGGCCTTCTCTATCTAGTTTTATACCTTTTAACAAAGTGATTTAATTTTCCAAAATCTACTTAAGCTGTTTGGGGTTTTTTTTGCTTAAAACTAGACAGATGTACATGAAAGTATTTATATTCTAATGAACAGTAAACTTTCTAATTTCTTTAAACAAATGAGTAAGTTCTCTTTTTTCCCCCTATAAGTTTATTGTAAGAAAGTACCAATAATAGAAAGATAAATTCAAATATCTATATAAGGCCAGAAAGGTGATTACTGACTTTCAGTATATTTTCCTGTAGGATTTCAGATTAAAACCCTATTCTTCATTTAAAACACAAGACCTTGTATCAGTATGGAATCCAAAATCTTTTCTCTAGTCATTCCAGATTTACTGGAATAATAGGTAAAGCCAAAAGAGAAGGTATTTTTAACATAGCCACGAGTTGGAAAATACACACTGCTATTACAGCCCCACCTAGAATGGGCACTTAACAAACGGGGTACCACACATTTTAAACTCTTTTAAAGACAGCCCTGTTTCTGAAATTGCCACTCAAAGGTTTCCAATTCGCAAAAACAAAAAATAGGTGTTGGGAGAACTTCTACCCTAGCTGAAGCGTCATACGTGTCATCAGAGGTTGTTATTCACGCTTAAGAAAGAGGAAGAGGAAACTTCACAGAGATTTAAGCAGACAGGCGATCAGAGCACCCCCGCCGCCAGCAAGCGCCCACGAAACACCACGGCAGCCACCTTTTACCCACGCGTGTCCCAATTTAAGCAAACCAGAAAGCCTCCATTCTCACCCTCCCCGCCTTCTCCCCCTACCTTCCACCGAGCGTCCGATGCTGTGCAAGTGCGTGAAGGAGGGGTACGAGGCATGAACTCCCCTCAGGTAAGCCTCCAGCTCCTCGGTGTGATGGTACTTGAAATCCAGCGCGGCTGCCACCGAAACCAGACAGAAAATGCCCACCACGTCCTAGAAAAAAGCAGATGAACCAAAAAGCCATGTGGGGACCGGGGAGTTTGTCGCTGCCCCGGCTCCGTTTCGGCGGCGGGGGAG